ATTGGGATAGTAATAGGAAAGGTTGTCTGCGTTCTACATAAGAAAAAATACTGTTGGAAGTGGAATTAGCTCATATAAATTGAATATTGTTTTGTCTACAATAGGAATCTTTATAGCAAAAATTATTACATTCTTCTTTGATATAACATTTTATTCTAGAACTTTGCAATATAAATGTATGGTCGATATGTAATTCATGATATCTTTCGTTTTTCATCAAGTAATACTTTTGCGGTGAGAATTTGTGGTGATAATGTACCGTGTCTGCCTAAGCTTGTTGAATTAAGGTATCATACTTTATCGATTAGGTACTTTGTTTGCTAATCTATTGGTATATAGAGATAGGGTCATTACGTGTTGCGTGATGACGTTTTCTAATTTTAATTCATCTAGTTTCCGGTTTATTGTAACTGACAATTCATTAATTAGTTGGATATTTTTGTTTAATCGGTTTTCGCTTAATTTCAAGAAATTGACCAAATTATTAAAATTTTTTATAGTGCTGGAAATCACCTGAATTTGGGATTTTAATAGAGTCTGTGTTTGTCTATTGTCGTCTATTGTTTAACAAAATATTAATACTATCGGTATAATATTACGCATCAGGGGTACCGAACAACCAATTTAGAGCATATGATACACCATTAATTAGTCCGCGACGTGATTGTAACCTTTGGCCTGATAAGTCGTGGTCTTTTATCATGCTCAAAGTTTGTTGACGTGGAGACTACCATAATTATACTTTGACAATTCTTCTAATGCTAATTTACAGAAAGTTTGGTTCAAATGTATGAAATTTATGTAACTGAGTAATGTTAATTTGCTGTTAGCGATTTTTGCTTCACCCATTTTTGTTATAAAATATACCATTCGATCGATTAAATGGGATATTGATACACGTATAAGATATTACACAGGAGAAGAGTAGGGAAAATATGACTAAAAATGTAATGAACGGTATCTGAAACAAAATGTTTCAATATGATACCTTTTTTTTCGCATGCCTACTTGAATTTCTACTGTCTTGTTCGGGAATATTTTTCTTATTTTATAGAGCCTAGGGAAGTTTGTATATAATTTCTTGTTGGCATAAATTTATTCTCCTTTGTTTGTTCTAAATGTATACTGAGTCATTGACCTTGAATGACTCGAAATTCTTTAGGGTTGGTTTTTTTATCATAATGTTCTTTGCTCTTAGTTTTTGCATTAATTATATTTTCACGTGCAATTTTGAATGATGTATTCAATTTGTATTGTAAAGAATTAACATAGTCGTCGTAAATGTAATTTAGATTCTTGAGTGATTAATGATGATAAATATGCTTTGGAACCAAATAGTAATTCTGGTCATATGGTATAAAATTGGTAGTTTTATGGACTGACGTATTGTAACTGAACATGGCAAAAAAGTAAATATTCATCCCAATCTGTTTGGTCTGATCTTACATAATGTTTAAAATAATCCTTCTAGGTTAAGTAATCGCTAAGGTTTAGGTTAGGCTTCTAGGTTAAGTAATCTCTAAGGTTAAGTGCGATCGATCGAGAGCGCCATTTTCTATAGATAATATGGCTCGATATGTGTTTAGTTTTGAATAGTTATTTGGTCAAATCCTTGATTAATTAAGACATGAAGTTAGCACCTTGATCAGATAATATGGTTTTAGAAATACCGAAGCAAGCTGTGATTTTTGTCAGAACTTTCGCGATAGTCGATGCTTCATGATTAG